CGCGGCACCGCCGACGACATGCTGGCGGTGCGGCTCCGGCGCCCGCTGTCGCCCGAGACCCGGCGGCGCCGGAGCAGCTGGCGCCGCCACACGGTGGTGGTGCAGAGCCCGCTGACCGACCTCAACTTCAACGAGTGGAAGGAGCTGGGCGGAGGGGGCGCCCCGGAGCCCGCGGGCGCTCGACCGCACAGTGACAACAAGGACTCTGGCCTCAGCAGCCTGGAGTCCACCAAGGCACGGGCTTCATCCGCCGCCTCGCTGCCATCGGGGGACCTAGGCAATCTACAGGGCCTGCCCCCGCGCCGCTCGGCCGCTGCCCGCCTCCACCAGTGTCTGTGACACCCTGTCCGGTGGTCGGGTGGGGAGGAAGAGCGGGGCTGGTGCCGCGGGCTGGAGTTTGGTGGGATGGGCAGAGGAGAATCGAAGAGGGAGTCTTCAGAAGAGGGAAGGGGCTGCTGGGATTCATGTCCCTTGGATAAAGGACTGAGTGGCCCTTTTCTGTGAGTCCACTTAGGGACCCTTGTTGACAGTGGAGCGTGGGTGGACCGCCCACGCTCCATACTGAAGGAAAGATGGAGCCGGGTTTTTGTGTCTGTCCTCTGCCCTCCTCTCCCCCCCCATTAGCTCCTAGCCAAGGAGAGGAGGATGAATGTCTGGGGAGCGGATGTGTAGGGTTGGGTGTCCATGGGAGAGGGGGCTTGTGTGTGTGAGTGTGTGTAGTCACTGTGCAAAGGTGTTTCCAGTAGCAACTTCTGCCCCAACCCGTCCATTTCCCCACCTGTCCCGAAGCCAGGACCTTTGGTGGGCACCTCATCCCCAAGCTTGTCAGAGCCCGAGACTGGGTTGAGGCCCCTCCAGAGGCAGGACTGACCCCGCCACTACCAAGTCACTCCTCACACCCTTTGCCAACCTCTGAAGTCACCCCTCTAAGCTCTTTGACCTGTGGACCTGCCTGCTCCCCAGTCTCTGGAGTGTCCAGGACCCCCTGCAGCTGGCTGGCACCTTCCTCCATTTCACCCTCGTTCCACAGCTTAGCAGGAGACTCACCTTCTCCCTTCAAGGGAACAGTCAGGAAGAACACATTGATTTAGAGGGTCCAGCTGGGCTGTTCTTGCAGGGTGGGTGGGACCCAGCCCCCCTTCCCCCACATTGTAAATAAACCCTGGAGCACTGTCCTAACCCCCCCCCCCCCCCCCCCCCCCCCCCCCCCCGGGGGCCCCGGGGGGGGGTCCCCCCCCCCCCCCCCCCCCCCCCCGTCTGTCGGTCTCCTTGGTTTCTGCAAGGATTTGCTGTAAAGTCTCTTCCCCCCTCCCTTACTGTAAATATTGTCTCTAATGTGTAACATATTATAAAGAATTTATAAGGATTTTTAAAGATGTTTTGCTCATTTTAAAAAGTGTTGTAACAGTGTTGGATAAAGCCCCTACGTCTGCATGGCTCCTCCCACCGTGTCCATGACACACCACCTCTCTAGGCGATAACTAAGATTCCTGCTTCTGAAAGTCCTGTCTTAAAAGTACAGTCTATATCTTGGAAATAAATGGCCTTTCTCAGGCTTGAGCCAGTGTCTCGCTTGTTGATGGGGAGAGGGACATGGCAGCGTTGGCATGGACATGGTGAGATCCATGTCCTTGTGAGGAGGGTAGCGGGGCTGAGTGGCAGGGTAGAGGAAATCTCTTCTCTGGTGGCTTGCTGTGTCCTAGAAGACTGGTATGAGACAGGCACACAGAGTGGGTGGTGTGCTGTCCCCACACTTCCATCCCGACATCAGCAAGAGGCCCCCAGGCGCCCATTTTGCAATTCCTGCAGAGGCTCCTTGTTTCTCAAGCCTTCAGAGTGGCCTCAGATACTACCCCACAGCCAAGAGACTTAGCCAGCTGTCACCGTAGGCATCTCAGGCCCAGCAGCATCACCAAAGGACACTGTAGGACCTGCCCATTTTCTGTGTCTGTAAGCCGGCAGGCTCTCCTCAGTCACGGCTCTGCAGCTGCCGCTCCTGAGTGAGCTCAGAACTGGTGTCTCTGAGTGCTCAGAACCCACCTGAGAGCTTTGCCCTAAATCCCACCTCCGACCCTCAAGCTCAGTGCCATCATGATGTCCTCTCTGGATGTGAGAAAGCTGAGGCATGGCATGGCACAGGATGCATCTTCCCAAGGTCACCCTGTTAGTAAGCTGTGGAGCCAGGGAGCAGACACAGAGTGAGGTTGAGACAGAGTTGGGGTGAGGGTGGGGACTCCCTCCTCACAGGGTGACCTTCTGCAGACACATAGAGACTCGAAAGATGAGACGGTCAAATGAAGATATTTCTAGATAAGAAAAATTGAGAATTCAGCTGGGTGGTGGTGGTGAATGCCTTTAATCCCAGCACTCGGTAGGCTGAGGCAGGCGGATCTCTAAGTTTGAGGCCAGTCTGGGCTATACAGAGAAACTCCCTTGAAAAACAAAAACAAGACAAAAAAGACAACTCACTACACAAAGCAATAATTGCAAAACTGTTGTCCATAAAGGTGTGATTTGTATGACTAATCACATGAGGGGAGGGGGAGGGGCTGGATCAACATTGGAGCGACATTTTGGTTTTTGTTGTTTTGTTTTGCTTTGTTTTAGTCAGGGTCTCACTGTGTAACCCTGGCTGGCCTAGAACTCACAGTGTAGACCAAGCTGGTCTCAAACTTATGGCAATCCTCCTGTCTCAGCCTCCTGAGTGTTGGGGATTACAGATGTGTGCCACCATTCCTGGCTTATGGTTTGATTCAACTGTCTCCCACAGGCTCAGCTCTTGAGCTCATGGTTCCCAACTCACTCAAAGCACTATTTTGAAGTCTGTGGGACCTGGCTGGCAGAAGCAGGTGACCAAAGGCAAGCCTTGGACGGTCGGTCACAGCGCCCTCGGTCCAGCAGCTTGTTGCTGTCCTCAGCCAGCTCTGATGTGTTCTCCACCATGATGGATCAGAACTCCCTTGAAATTGTGACGCAAACTAAACCTTTTATTTACTAACTTGATTCGGGCACAGCAATAAAAATAAATTTTTAAAATGGAAGTTTAGAATAAGAAACCATGTGAGCTAGGGTGACTATTCCAAGTATGAGACAGAAATTCTAACTAGGGATGAGGACATTTTGTTTCTAACTAGAGACAAGGACATTTTGTAACAGTCTATAAGCCAGCCAATCAGGCCATCAAGCAGGTGTGTTCCCAAGGACAGCCCAGAGTCAGGGAGTCTAAACAGGTTTGAAGGGAAACTATACAACTTGCTATGTTAGTTGGAGAGAGATTTCAACATCCCATACTCAGTCATGGACAGAACTAACCACAAGGAGGAAAGCCCGGCCACTGTAAACCAGCTGGACTCAAAAGTTCTGAAGAACATTCCAAAGGACAGAACAAAGGTACACATGGAACATTCTGGGACAGACCATAGAGTCGGCCTTCAGCAAGTCCCCATGCTGAATAGGAGTCACACAATCTTGTTCTCAACTACGATGGGATTAAGTTAGAAATGAAGAGGTTTGGGGTCAGTGAGATGGTTCATCAGGTAAGGGTGCTGGCTACTAAACCTTACAACTTGAGTTTGATCTCTGGAACCCACTGGGTGGAAAGAGAACTATTTTGTTGTTTGTTTTATTTGTTTTTCAAGACAGGGTTTCTCTGTGTAGCTTTGCGCCTTTTCTGGATCTTGCTCTGTAGATCAGGCTGGCCTCGAACTCACAGAGATCCACCTGCCTCTGCCTCCCGAGTGCTGAGATTAAAGGTATGCGCCACCACCGCCTGGCTTGTTTGTTTTGTTTTTCAAGACAGGGTTTCTCTGTGCAGTCCTGGCTGCCCTGAAACTCTCTCTGTAGACCAGACTGGCCTCAAACTCACAGAGATCCGCCTGCCTCTGCCTCCTGGGTGTGTGTGTCACCATGCCCACTTAGCTGAAAACCACTCTTTAAAGTTGTCCTCTGAGGCTAGGCCTTGTGACTCATGCCTTTAACCCCAGCACTCAGGAGGCAGAGGTAGGCAGATCTCTGAGTTCAAGGCTACCCTGGTCTATGGCGTGAGTTCCAAGACAGCCATGGCTACACACAGACCTTGTCCTGAAAAACACCAAAACAACAACAAAAAGAAAAAGAAGAAGAAAGGAAGTTGTCCTCTGGTCTCCACACAAACACCATGGCACAAGACCACACAGAAAAATAAAAACGACTTATATCGGGGACTATTGGGGTCCAGCCCCTAATAGTCTCCCTTCCAGGGTCCGCGGAAGAATTTATCAACCAGCTGAGAATCTATTCTTTAAGGTCGGCAAATCAATCTATGCACACAGAGTTTTTTGGTCCATTCGCTTTAATCCTCCTCCTCGTCCCTTGCTTTACAGTTATATATCCCCCAGAAAACACAATCCTCCCCTCCACCCAGGACACCCAGCCTGAACTTCCTCAGGCAGTGATTGTCCATTATCAGGATCAAATGGAGGGTTGATAAGAATTACAAAGAGGGGCACTAGTTGTTAATTACCATTGGTGACCCAAAGGGGAAGTGACTAATGAACTAACTAAAGGCTAAATACGGGTAATATCTAAGAAGAGGGATCTTATGTGCACAACTATAATCTTAAATGTGTTTGGTAAAGGATGTTAAAAATCTATAAATTGCTAGGTCAATGGGAGAAAATAAAACTGTCTTCTTTTTTCCTGTGGCTCCTATCT